AAATTTTCTGAAAATTTTGTGTTTTTATCATTCCTTATGCCTTTACATGGTCCGAAAATGGGCATTTCCATAGTGAAATAAATGGAGGTGGAGATTTGCAATATCGGGAACAACATTTCCAAATCGATAAATGTTCCCAAATCTATAGCCCTTGTACTGTTATACGGGCTTTATAATGGAAAATGGTAGCCAGAAAACAGAGGGAAGAGGCATTATTCTCGCGAGCGCTTAATACCAGAGAAAGACTCAAAGCTGAAGGGTTGGATAATAGAGAAATGAGGAATATCAGCACGTTTTCGCTCTATGTAATTTTTTTAACCTGTATCGTTATTAGTTATTTGAAAACACAGTATGGAGCGTAGCACTTTGCTTTTTGTAAAAGCGCATAATATTAAATTAAGGCATTAACAATTGGTTAACTATTTTTCTGACCTTACCACAATCGGATTTGTGAAGCGGACTTGACGATTGATGTTCGCATTTAAATCAGCCGATTCAACTGGATTTTCCGTGTCATTCAGTATCTGACTCAATTATCTGTAATTCCTACCAACAAAATAAGCCAATAGGCATAATTTAAGCTAAATAAATAACTCCATTATTTAGTGAATTCGCGTCTCCTTTTTTTGGCATAATGTGAACACTAGCACAATTAGTCGTGTCGATGGAATGGTTCAACGATGATTTAGGCGTTGTATTTAAACAAAATAATCGTTTCCTAACCTGACTCGATGTTCTAATGTTGTTCCACAATAAATTAACGGCGTTCCCTTTAGTGGACACACGCTCTCACCCTTCCAATGATTTAAGGCCCGATTACTGGGCTCGGTCTATGGGGTAATATTTAGGTTGACATAAATTCCACGAAAACACGGTCCCACACTTACATCTTTCAAAAGAATGCATGCCCAAGCTCCATTTATGGGAACTGAATTTTTGTATATTTGGCACTGGTGTTTGAATGTCCTTTTTTCCTTTGAAGTCTACCATTTGTGGTAACCTTATGCCGTGGACAATCTCAGCCACTATTAAACCAGACAATCGACAGAGTCACGAGATATAGATATGAAGTAAAGAGTTAATGTGCAACATAAAATTCCATTTACCTTAGCGACAATATCGATAAGTTGTCTAGCGGAGAGAGAGAGAGTGTAAGCAATAATGTCATTAGAGTTTTGAGCTTAATTTCTTCTCCTTATCACTTAAACAAGCCCGATTTTGACAGCTATCAGCTCCAATGCTCTCTGATTTCAAAGTTAGTCAAGTCAACCGCCAAACCAACCAAAACACCTGAACTTTTTTAAGTTCTTGAGCTCTTAATTTAATAATGTGAGGTCGTATATGTTCAATTAGCACAAAATTGACCTTTGTGTGTTTTTTTCTCCTATCCACAATTCATGTATTTCTTTTTGAATGCGATGATGAGCGGAAACCCTAATTAATGCTATTTTTCAATATAAAGTACCTCAAGTGTAATGGAAATTCATCTTAGGGAGACTTTTAAATCTATTTAACTTGCAAAGTATATGAAAGCATTGTAAACTATCAGCTCATTTTCACACTCCTAAACGGGCTATAATGAAGAGAAAAACCCGATCTATACTGATCAGATGAACTTTAAATGAACTTTGAATGGTATTTGTTCGCTGGCACTCATAAATATATTGATTAATATAATTGAACTGGTACAATCAAAATACTTGTTGAATTTGAGGCACGTATGTCAATAAGAAATCTCTGGAATACGAACTCTCTCGTATGTGCAATGGAACATAATACTCTCAAAAACCGTTCATATGACTCGAAGGTTCTATGCGTACGATCACACCCAAAATACGGTTATCATGCCGGTTACACATTATTATGCAAATGTAATGCAGAACGAATAGTTAACATCTTGTAAACAGTCCCATATTAGTTTCTTCTCTATAGAATCAGGCTTAATTACACATTAACTTCTGTATCTAATGAAAACTGTTCTCTTTTCATTCAATCCAGCCATATTGTTATTTGTTCGTTTTTGTAAATCGATAGGGAGATGCCAGAAATAATCGTAGAGTGGTTTTTTTCACGATTTGACGGGGACACTGACGCTTCTAATTTGAATAAAATCCTTGGTTACAAATGGTGGAGTTGTTTTCCATCTTGCTACAGACGAACGCGAGTATTGCCTTAACCTATTAACTTGATATCTATGGGAAAAGAAATTGGAGAAGCCTTAAACAGCCTGCGTTTTCTCTCACTCTCACTCCCTTTTTACTGGCAACCGGTTTAGCAAATGTACATCTAATAGACGGTCTGTGACTAGCTGTGAACACCGAGAAGTGCGTAGTTTTGAGATGCGCAATAACGCTGATTGCATAAGTAATTAACCCTTACTTTCGCTCAAACCATTTGCGGTTTCATCCTTCGATTAAAACAAAAGGCTCTAATACTTTAACTACTTTTTATCCAGATCTAGTTATTTTATTTTACTAACTGAGAATGAACGGGAGGATGAAGCATGTAAAGTGGAGTTTTGAAAGTGGGATTAATTTGGTGCAGGTTAAAAGCGAATTCGGAAATTTCAAAAGATATTATTTTTTTTAATTTTTGAAACATTGACGAGCACACATTTGACAAAATATATGTGCAGTTCAAGGTTTTCAATTTTTTTTCAAATTCGTTTCTGAATTCCTAAATGAATTCATAACCACGTTGAGTAAAACGCATTGACTAATTTATAAATTTCCACACCCCAATCACGTCAGGTTGGGGTGTGCGATAGACTTACCTCCACGTGGTGCACCCTGGGCAACGTATATTCATACGGCAAAAAAGTCTACCAATGGGCAGTTGACTTCTGACTTCAAACAGCCATTATCCCACTGTATGCCATATTCGACTATTTTCACAGTACTCACCTCACCTTTTTTCTACGTTCGTCTTTGGAGCACTCTTCTGTTCTCCCCCTTTCGACTTTTTGTACACTTTGATGTTCCTCCTCCCCTCTGTGAAGCTTGAAGTCAACTAAAGGGCTAATGATAACTATCAGAACGCCTATAAATAAGTATCGCAGATTTTCCTTCTCTTTAGACTTGAGAAAGTAAGCATAGCCGGCTTTATTTTATTCACTTATATTGCCTACCAACTTAATTACAAATCAATTTGTACCAATTTCAAGACAGCACATCTCATTTCGTCTAATTTACTATCAAACAAATATTTCATTTTCTTAGATCTTAAAGCTCTTTCTCTATTTCCTTTCTGATTTCTTAATTTCCACATCTTGAAAGTACTTCAGTAACTGAAAACTTTTATTTTCCGATATTTTTTTATGTCTTATTATGAAAGGCTTGTATGCTCTGTTGGTATTGTATTACTACCGTAATAGGAAACATCAGTCTGGTGATTCAATTGCACAATTTGTACAAGTATCCTTTTATTTAGTAATATTATTTCGGCCTGAAGAATCTTTTTTGCTCATGGAAACTAACAGTATTACAAATAATCGGCCACAAATTCTCCCAAAACCGCATTTGATTAATTCCTTTTACAATATGAACATCGGTTTATCAATTTCTTCACTATTGCTCTTTTTCCTTTAATATCTATATATATATATATATATATATATATATATATTTCATCTGCGTATAGAATTAACAAGTTTGCTTTAAAAAATGATTTATGAAATCCCTGGATTTCTGGATGTTATTTTATACCATTGCATTGGGATTAATTTCACTGCCAAAAGACTATAAATTTCCCAATAAGCTGTTTGACAAATTGTAATCTATGTAGACATTTAAAGGGAAATCGATTAATCGAATTTTGTATTACCATAATTGATTGAATAGTTTAAATTTTACACCCCTTTTTTGGAAACGATTGGCGTTAGTTAAGAAGTGTAATTGAAATAAATTAAATCTGGAGAAGTATTTCACCTGACTTCCAAAATTATGAGATTTTCTGTTTTCTCCATTATCATTTTCTTAGTGATTTCTCTTTAATACATAAATGAAGAAAGCCATATTTTTCGATTAATCTTATACCTGGTCTCTTCTACCGGAAGTCTTTGTGATTGTTATCATCGATCCGACTGAGTCAATCAATCTCAATTTTATTTGGAAGGAGTTAACAACACTGAGCTTCAAAACGTCAACCTCCCCCCCCCTACAATTGTCTAATGATCAATAATGCTAGAGATGGCCTTTCTAGTAGATTCATCAATCAAAACGTCTTTTAAATATTCACCCAAAATTAGCGAGGCTAATTCCTTGAGAAGATACACATTTTTCGCTTAGTAAATTGCCTTTAAGGTCACGCTGTGTTAACTCATTCCGTCGTATTTCACAGTTGGCTGTAATGAATTAATGCCATTTAAATTTAACCATTTCAACAATGGCGGGTAATTTATCACTGTCTAGTTTTTATTTCCTCCTTCAAAGTCATTGGAAGTAAGCGTTCTTTCAATCGTGGGATCAGAGTTAACATCTGGCCTTGAAAGTATGGCTAATTTTACTTCATTTATAAAATTTAAATACACCTACTAGGCTCTTAGAGCCAACACCCAATCTATTTCTAAGTCGTTGTCCATTAAACTCGAAAAACGAGCTCGTTTGCATGGTGCAAAAGTAAGCAAGTGCCTTGCTGACATATCGAGCATTTTGCAGCGTCATGGAGTGAATTGACGTAAATTGAGATTAGCGCTAATCATTTCTCAATACTTTTCTTCATTCATTTGTTTTAGTGCCACGTTGGCGTTTAGATAGAAGTGAAATGGGGTGGTGGGAGAATTTTAAAAAAAAAAGGGTTTCAGAAAATCAAGTAGCCAAATTTTATTTCTGCGTGCGCAATTATAATCCGATTGTATGTGCGCGTTTTGAAATAAAATGTTTTAATTTATTCATTGATATTAAAAAGCAGAATTTAGATCCTTGTTTACAGATTTTTAATACGTTCATGGTTCCTCATTTTGAATTGCCTGATTTATTGATAGTTAAAATTAAAGCGTACACATGTTGATTTTTTGCTGGTATTGCATAGTCAGAAACTGTGATACTTTTGGTGACAAAAGGAAGTCGATCACATTCAAGTCATGGGGTCTAGAGGAGAATTCTACTCAGGATCATGCTCGTCATACAGTAAACAACGGTTTCTACCTTGATTTTCTTTACAAAAGCCGATCAAATTCTACGTTTGTGGAACATTTCCCCATTTTAATTCCTCTGAATTCTCATTTTGAGCGATACTGTACCTAACATTTTAGTTCAAAGTCCTATTGAAATTTGAAGTCAACTCTATTTTGCCAACTCTTAGGAGTAGTCTTTTGTATAAAATTTTGCGATTGAATCTCACCTTCACCATTTATTTTCCGCCTAACATAATTGTTTGGACTCCAATATGTAGTCCACTTAGAGAGCTGCAACTGTAAAACTTAATTAATTTAAGTACAATGAAATCTAATTACTATTTCATTGAATGTTTTTTGATGCGATTAATTGATGTTTTCCCCCGTTTGTTGAAAAAATCTTAATCATATTTTTGATTTACACATATTCATATAATCAAATAAATTTTGATCATTGAGATTCAATAAATTAGCTTACAATTTTTATCTTGCTCTCTGTAACAATGCAACTATCAAACTTATATCCTAACTGCCACATGGACACTAAAACCTGTCATTCTGTTGTGGAATAATTATAAAAGAGTAGCCGAAACTTTCAATGTATCGGAATTTTAAATACGTTTTAAAACCTTACCCCACTAATCTAGTTGAACAGATTCCACTAAACACTTAAAATATGTTGAGGTGAATTAAATTCGCATTAATGCTGAACATCTTAGTTTCAGAAATCGATAATATTGGGCTTTGAGCCCATTTAATCCCGCCGCTAAAGTTCACAAAGATTCCTGAAATTTGGAGAAATTTTTACACTAGAGTGTAATGGAGTTATATTGACGGATTATACTGCCAAATGATATATTCACCCAACTGATTGAAACAATGCTCACATAATTATTCAGCGTTACTGGCTGAATATTGGGAGACAGTCTTTATAAAAGCAATAGCAATCGATCTTCAGAAATACGAATTCGGATATGAATTATTCTTTTTTTGATCATTTAGTACCCTAGTAAACCACGATCTACAATCCCAGGACTGGATCCGCATGGTAGTTCGATGGTATGAGGAGCATCGTGGAATGTATCCTCAGACTGCAATGCTGCACTATCTCGAAATCGCTGAGGGTTTAGAAACCTATGGCGTGGAATTCTTTGAAATCTATAATAGAAGAGGTACCGACCTCCTTCTAGGAATCGATGCCATGGGCTTGGCGGTGTATAAACCTCCGGACAGGTAAGAATATATTCTTTGGATATATATAATATATATATTGAAATGTAGTAAGTCACTTAGCCAATGAGACATAAGGAAGACGATTTTTAAATCTCTAATGCATTAATTGTCACATTTTTTGTCCTCCTACGGCATAAAATGTTGCCTATTCTAAATTGCCTCGTGAAATTTAAGCGAGTGTTTTAAAATGCGTTACACGGCATTCAGAGGTCAAGATGACAAGTGCTATCCGTGGACACTGGATAATACTATTCCATATGGGGTATGATGGAGTTTGTATTTCTCATAAGGAATGCTCTAGATGATGGTAGCAATGGGAGGTTTTCTTACACATCCACATGTATGAAACGACAGAAACTGTCAGATATGCAATCTTTTGACTAGTTGTTCTGATGAATTCGGGCACTCCTTAGCTAAATTGGCACTTGGAGTTGAATACCACACGTCTTCGGGGCTTTCTACTCTCTTGTACTCTACGTCGAAGCTAAATATCCACCACACTTACTTCTTGCGTATATTTTACCCTAAGTTGATCTCATAAAATGTTGAAATTTTGAGCTGAATGTTAAATTTTACTAAAGGTCACACGAATAAGGACAGTTTTAATCCCTCTGGATAAACTAAATATATTCATTTCATCATTTTTAAGTGAACTGTGCTCCTTATATTTCTGAATGCCCAAAAATACCTACCAATGTGAAAACCACCACGTTTATTTGCTACAGCAATCCTTTTTATCATCTGGCGAGTAGGGAAGCGGGCCCAGTTGCTTACTTACGAATCTCACCACCGAATCCCTGGCATTCTATCAACTATCCTGGATGAACACAACTATTGAAGTTGTGTTCATGAAAGTACAAATTTAGGCATTTATTAATCATCTGGCCAATGAACTACGAAGTCACACATCAATCTTCCTACTCACCTTCATTTGCAATTGTTCCTACTTAATTTTAGTGACATGACACTCGGTCACCCAACTTTCTAGGAAAGATCAGTATTGGAATTCGTTGAATATGACATTATTATTTAACACTACTAATCCGTGTAGTGCGAAGATCACATGATTGCAAGTTATGCTGCAGGTTTGGCGATCACCGTGAACCTCGTAGTCGTTCTTGCAAACATGGTGTGCATTTCAACATAATGGTTCATTCTTTTAATTGTTCCACTTTTTTGGCAAAGCCGTGCGCTTTATCAAAGAAACAATGTTGCATTTGTGTCCGCAGTTATTGGTCAATTAAAGTTGTTATGTAAAGAAGGCCGGACAGTTTTGGGAAGTGGACAAAGGAAGAATGGTAGGTAAGGTAATTAGATAAGCTCAATTATCATCATCTACAAATTTGCTTCAAGATAAGCATTCAATTTGCTAGTGACACCTCTATTTCATGCCCTTTTATGTTTTTTTTAAACTGGCTTAGTCATGTTTGTCTACCTTTGATTAGGGAACTTTAGCAGACTTCAGAACTAATGTACTACCAGCTAACATTCACAATATAGCAGTAGACAAAATGTTGTTAATCCGTCTTTGATTAACATTTCCTTGTTAATGTCATAAGTATTTAGTAATGAGATTAGTAAAAGACTTTGAACAAACTAACAGGCATACAAGGTTCAATCTACTGGCGATGCTATACATACTGCTTCTCTAGTAGTGTTTGAGTTGTGGTTTCTTCATTATCATTCAAATCGTTGGGTAAATGGCTTCCAGTCCAGAGGGGATATTTAGGAGCCAGACTACTGACGACTGAACAAAGTAAAGATGAACTCTCTTCTGTAAGTTATTTTTTATAAGCAGTGAAACTTTTTACGAACCCCTAATGGGTTTATAGGTCTAATAATCATTGAAATAGGTGTAGGATTTTTCATTTAAATTACTATTGAGTCAACTCTTATAGTAGTTAATGCATCCGTCTATTTATACGGTTTGCGTAAACCATGATATTCGAACAAGCAAATATATTTCTATTAGTATAAATTGGCACCCTTTCCTACCAAGTCCAAACGAAATATGTTCTGGTATGTTTCGCAGTTTTTTTCCCAAAAATAGTCCTCTTGAGGACAATCGCAATAAATTAAATATAAACAAAGAAAAGGACATTCTGCATATTTGTAATTCAATTTTTTTCATATTAGAAACGTTGGTTCTGTCGATATTATTTGTAATTAGGCAAACGATGTACCCGAAAATGGAAAATACCGTGTTTATTACTTTATGAAAGACGTAAAACAAAAATATATTAAGGTCATTAATTTGCAATCAACCAATTTACTCGATTTTTCGTCCGAATAGCTCGAACAAGAGCATATAATTCCAGAAAAATATGGTGATGTTTGTAAGTGTGCGTGTCAACTTCTGACAGTTCTAAAACGATTAATCCCAATTGTAGATCTGTTAAAAGTCCATATTGTTAATAAAGTGAATTTAGTTTTTCCTACTGTTTTGCATAGCTAGAAGAGACAGATACAGAGGTAGAGGAAAAGTAAGGTGAGTACTTTGGAAGTGGTCGAATATGACATATAGTGGGGTCATAGTAATTTGGAGTGAGAAGTCAACTGCCGGTTTATAGACATTTTTGCCGTATGTGTATACGTTGCCCAGGGTGCACCAAGTGGAGGTAAGTCTATCCCACATCCCGGGCCCAGTTAATTGAATCATCGATTATGGCTTTTCATTCATGCATGACTATGTAATTACTGGCTGTCCAATTAACGAATCATTTTTATGATCAGTTTATTCTTTTAATGGTTGAAAAGAATATTGTTGTTAGGCTATTAGTAATTCTTCAGCTTCTATTGGATGTGTAATGTAGCGAGAAACAGTCCAAATTAGTACTTACCAGGGTAAATGAGTCACTTTCGGTAAACTAAATTTGGAAATCAGTTGAAGTTTGGAATAAAGCTCAAAAAATGGTTGTGGGAATCACTTATTAAGAAAATGAGACTTCTAAACGGTTTTCCATTCTCTATAATTCCTGCTTATCTGCTGCTCAATCCTTTCACGGATCCCTAACGTACTCTCTGCATGGAATAGCAGCTACATGGGAGATATAACTCTCCACTCCAAATTATTCAATATTACATGAAAATATACTAATGGATCTGTAGCGGATTGCTACGCTAGTAAAGCCTGACTGACTCAGAAATCTCTGTGGCAGATTCTCCTACTTCTAGCTAGACTCCCAGAACCACCTAAGCTATAGCTCAGCTATAAAGGAAACAGACGTGTAGCACGGAGTACGCTTATTCAGGACGTATATTGCGCATAAAGCGTACACGCATGGAGCTACTCATGATCAGGATGGCGGATTAGGTTAAACAAACGGAGGCTACTGATTGGCCACTGTTTGTACGGTCGCTACACTCAGAGTTGTATGGCCGCACCTCCCAATCCTGGCGAGCAGACATGCAGGCATGCGATGACGTACAAAGCGATAACGTGTCCCACAGATCTTTTATCTCGTGTGGTCAAATTTTATAAAAATCTAAGTCAAGTTACATCGGTGAATGAAAATTTTTAATAAGAACACAACTTTTATTTTCAGTTGTGTTGGCACTATCAAATTAATGCCAACAGGCTAACTTATCCCTATGGTGTATTAGACAGGTCAATT